TTATGCCGTAACACACATAAAAAAAAAATAAAAAAAAAAAAACATACAGACGAATTGAGTACCTCCTTCTTTTGGGAAGTCGGTCAAAAATTGACTTACCTCTATTTCAGACTGTTGCAGTTTTATCCGATATGATGTTAAAATTCAAGGCTAAAAGTTTTCAAGACTTTGGTTAATGCCATAGCATGCAAGATATTTAAATGAATTCAAATAAATGACAATTAAATGTAGGGTTACCAAAAAGTACTCCTACACATAAAAGATACTGTTAACTTAAAAAACATAGTTATACAACATAGGATTTGAATATTACATTCCTTTGATACGTAAATAAAAAGTTGAATTAGTTATAATTTTTCCCGTGAGTAAGCATCTGAGTAATCAACACGAGGTAAGTTCTTGACAAAAGACAAAGTTCCTGTTAACTTGACTTCCGTAGACAACGTAGAACCTTGTCACAATACACTGGCAATACAAATTTAAACCTTAATTTATGTAAAGATTCATGTACCTGTCGGCGACATCTTCCAGCTAATGTCGGTTCGCATTACATTATTAATGCCGTAATAAACAATTTTATACATAACAAATAAAATATAGAACGTAATGTTGAAGGTCACGGCAACGTTAATTTTTTTCATTGTGACATCGCTTTGGAACACGCAATTTGTTTGTCCACAACTCCTGACAGTTTGATGTATTTCTTCAATATTTCGATGAACTGTTTACTCTATCAATTTCCTACCCGACTCTGTTATTCCAAAAATTCTTGTGATTTCTGAACCTTGTATGAAATTTATTTTTGAAGGCTAACATTAATATACATAACTCTTAACCTTAAGACAAAAATGTAATAAGATTACTTTCCTTTTCATGTAAATTAGACATTTCACAATGTTTTTCAACGTCTACATCATATCGACTGACATGTTTGCTTGTTTGTCGTTTATTCCTTGCCCCAGGTTACTAATTCAGTCGAGTAATAATTTAGTAAGTAAAAGTATCTCATCATCATCATCCCCTTATCCTACTCCCGTAGGGTCGGCGCGAGTAAGTAAAAGTATCTGAACAATGAAAATTTAGTCGAGTCGATTACCAGATAATTTCGTTGAGAGTATTTATGGTACTCAAATAAATTAGTAGCTTGGTCAAGGAATTACTGCTAGACAGAATTAACAGACAAACAAGCTGTCTATCTGTCTGAAAAACATGTTTTTAATTTTGATGTTTCCACCGCCGATAGATTTGTAAATAATTGGGAAAAAATTGTAAATGTGTTTTAGCTGCGAAAATTCGAATTCCATTACTCATTTATTTTGATCGTATTATAAGTATTAAAAGAGGTTTAAAGCAATGTTCATTGTTAAAATCGTCATACGATCATATTGCGTGAGTGCTTTTACGGAAATTATAATAGTTTCCATAACAACGCGCCGGTTGTGCCAATAGTTTTCCCCTAATTTTCCACGTTCATACGAAGCCTTCAAATCGTAGACAAATATGACGTGAGCGTACGTTTTTCTTACCAATTTTGACATGTTTACACTATTTTTGACGTATTTAGCCAAACCTCATGGGAAACTGTGATATTTTTATATCGTTTTTGTAATTTACAAGTAAAATACAGTGAAATTTGACCTCAAGAATGGCTTTCAACTTTGATAGCGGACAAGTAAGTACTTGAAATGATATCCTAGCTTATAATACATTATATTTTTAGATTTCGTATGTTACATTTTATTTAAGCTACTTCTATTTGTAAACACATCAATTTAAATGTAAATTGTACAAATAAGTGAGACGTAGTTGTGTCCTATGACGCAGGACTAAATATCAAAATGCAAAATTCGTTAAAGTAACCTATTCTAATATGTTGTCGCCAGTTTCTAGTAGAAATGAACTTTGAGGTTTATTTTCCTATCTAAGAAGTCAAAAGTATAAATTCGCATCTTGCATTTGCTGTTAGCAGTTTGTCTAATAATAAAGGAAAATCAGTGTTTTTAACTTCTCTTACAACGACGTAATTTTATTTTTCTCTCCTACTTTGTGTCGACTAATCCCATGTATTTTTTAACTAAAGAGCACCTGCAACAGTATTACACTCCCCTATTCTATTAAAGCTAAGACCTTTTTTTATTTGCGCGCAATTTGTAATGCCTTTAATCCAAGTTAGATACATCCAATTACATAGTAAATATCCTAAATTCGCCATCGTTATTCGAAATTGTGCTCTATTTTAGTTGCATTATGGTATGTATTTCAATGCGTGATAAATGATGGTCATTGTTGAGGGGCAGATCGTTTTTTACGGGTTGTCGACAATTTTTCACTGCTTTGTATAGGATGGTAATCCTTGTTTGACATCTTGCGTCGGTGGCGTTTAGTTAATGACACTTGTTTCTATACGATTAATTGTTTTGGTACATCCTAAGCCTGTGGTTAAAAATACAATGAGAGAAAAATGTTTAGCAAAGCTAAGTTAGGAGAGATTGGACCAAACTTTTTGGGGATAATTTTGTTTTTGTAGGCTAAATAAATCTAGCAGATGGCACATTTGTATGGTCACAGATAATACAATAACCTAAAAAAATGGCTTGGGTGTTTTCTTGCACTATTCTATTAGTAAACCATATTTTACCGCTATATGGCGAGGATATTTGTTGAAAAAGCACTTATAAAGACATTTTCAGTGTAAAAAAGTAAAGAAACCCTTTTTGCTTTTTTGGCCTTATCGCCATTTTGCATAGTTTGCTGGTCTATGAATGAGATCTTTATCGTGAAAACTTAAGTTTAATAGCATCAAAATTTCGAGCATTCTGGTACAAAAAGAAAAGTTTTCTTAGTGTATAATTTAATATAATATAATATAATATAATGGATTCAGGTGGCCGCTTGCTCGTTTGCCACCTTATGTTGTAAAAAAATCAACATGTCAATTTTATTTGTAATAAATCATAAGTTAAATATAGCATGTTTTCGTACATTAAATGCAAATTACGTGTCATGTCGTACGCCATTACTGTAACATGCGACTTTAGTATTTTAGAATTTTGATTTAGTGCGACTGCGTTTTATGTCTGTTGAGTTTACGATTTTTAAAAAAAGTATTATTAATGTTTAGATTGATTTTTACTTGTTTTGCGAAGCCTTATTCACGCGCGTAAGCCAGAGGGGTAGGAGGTAGTAGGAGACCACGGACCTTTTTTTTGGCGAAGACTCGTTTGCATTTTGTTTAAAAATAATCCAAAAACTTGCAAAGAACAATTTATCCGATGCAGTGATTGATGTTTTTAAATTTTTTACAACTAATTCCTAAAAATATAAACTAACAATCTTAAATCCCTTACAAAAGCCCTTGACAGTATAATTCTAAATTATGACACCCGTTCATATTTGAGGGTAATGAGAGCGTGATATATGGAGTAAATAATAATTTGCAACCCTTTGTACTCGGAAGGGATGGTCATAACAAAAGGCTGGCAGGGGTTTGACACTTGCTCAATAGATTTTTACACTTATAGTCATTAATTTTTTATAGATTCATTTTATTTTAAGTGTTTCTGTTTTAATTTTACAGTTTAGAATTTCTTCAATGATGAGTTCTTGTAGTTCTTTTTTTATAGTATCTGCGAACTTTAAAAAAATCCTTATGCTGCTGAAAAAGAAAAACTAAAAAGGTTTCATTTGTTTTTTTTTTTCATTTCAATTACTAAATGATTATTTTTATTTTATTCTTCTATGCTTTTATTAACCAAAACTCTCTATACAAGTATTTAACGGGCATCGTAATTATGTATTTTTGGTTTTACAATCACAGCAGTGATGAACGTGGGCCTTGACGTCTCTTGTGTTTGTGTCATTTCGACATTTGAATGACTGCCACGTGTTTCCCGCCATTGTATGCTATGCATCAGTGTTCAAAGCGCCAGACGTCTTTCAACGCCTTTTACTGATTACAATGATGCGACTTTCAGATTAATTTTATATAACCCTTGTAAAATTGTAAACGTAACGTCAATATTTTCTTGATTTTTTTATTCCTTTGTTTTCGAAACATCGACAAAACATCAGGCTTACTGTAGTTATGGCAGTCAAATAATTGTTTAAATTGAATGTTGTGCCTTCGGCTTGTTTACTTTCTAAATTCTTTCCAGTACAACCAAGAAACAACGCCTAAAAGAATAGGCAACTGGCAAGTGCCGAGATGGTCACCGACTCGTGCTCGCCCACTTGAGATGCGTCCAGACCCGAAGCCTATATGCGACATCAATGGCCATTTCCTCCCTGGAGCACCGAAAGGATCCTCTAAGTGCTTCGGACACTTCACGGGAACTTGGGAATTGCCGAGGAAAATAAATAGAAAAGTTGGTATGTTCATCAAACCATTAGATCGTTGTTAAAAATTATAAAACTATGTTACTCAGTGATGACGGAGCTTTTGAGCTATTTCAATGCATACATAAACAAAAATCTTTCCTCTTCATAATAAGGACTCATACAGTAGTATAGATTTTTACAGAAAGAGTTTTAAGAAAGTTTTTGCATGCTAAAAATATATTCGCAACGCAAGATTATCGATTTGTCCGGACCCTCGCCGTAGCTGTATATTTGTCAACACTCACGTGCCAGTTTACGTTCAGGTTACTTTCATGTTAGTAAGTAATTTGCGAGTCAATATTCAATGCGTTTTATGCATTGTATCAAACAAATAAAAACGTGACCTGACCTACTGATGCCGTTTGTATGTCAACATAGTTTCATTTGTCAAATGAATCATAACTAGAACTTATATCAAATTAAATAGATGGCTATGTCTTTTGTAGCGGAGGAGTTAGCAAAGGAACCACCAGCCAACAGATTTTCGGATTGGTTGCACCCTCGTGTCCAAAGACCCAAGGTCGTCAGTACCTCTATACGCATGCGTCCTGGTAAGCGTGGCAAAGTTACTGAAGAAAAGGAAAAGGCGCCCAGTACAGAGCCGTTCCAAGTAAGTCGCGCTTTACACCGCTACTAATTTTCCCGCGCATTTTTATTTTCGTATAATCTGTTGTAAAAACGTTACCGCGAATTTTAATCCTTCTATTAGGAAGTAAGTGTATTTTGCATTTTGCATTTTGTTTTCTTTTCGTGTGATAGTTTTATTTCTTATAACATAGTTTTCATTTATCTGTTCATTTTCTTTTTTAATTAATTTCTCGTCTTCACTAGAAGCCAAAAGCTGTAAGATAGTGTTTCTAAAAGAATTATTCAGATGTTATAAAAATATTTAATACATAGTGACGAATTGAGAACCTATCTTTTTATTGGAAGTCGAGTAAAAACGGGCAAAAACATATCTTTCAAAGTCAATTTAATCCAATTGCTTTCTACTTGCGAACAATTTTATTTTAGTCTCTAATAGTCTTTTAAATAAACGCGGTATAAATTTAAATTTAGGAATAAACTGAAGATAAGCAAATATTAGTACAAATTTTGTTTATACTCGTATTATTCCTAAGTTTAACTTTATAGCGCGTTTTTGTAAGGCTATAAGATTTTAATTAATCTATTCAATAGTTATTAGTAAAAAAATAATAGTAACCAGCAACAATGTTGTCAGTATTAAGCTTTGATAAAATGCGAGCTAGATAGCACACCTGCACGATATTTAGATAATTTCATACAGACACTGTTAAGATATCAAATATAATTTAGATTATATCCACGTGTCCTCTGATTCACTATTGTAGAATTTTTGATCGAACAAGCTCAATTTGTCACTATCGAAACCCTTTACAAAGGATTTTGTAAACGATTTCTAAGTTTCGCATTCCATACATAATGTAACATTTATATGAACAGGCCAGCTTTCACGCGTTAGCGTCTGCGTGGAATTAAAAAAAAAATTGAGTAGCCTATGTGTTCTTCCAGACTATCCTTTACAACTAGGTATACCAAATTTCATCGAAATCCGTTAACCGTTTAGGCTATAAAGTTAACAAATATCCATCCATCTAAACTTTTGCATTTATAATATTATATTAGTTTGATTGATAATTTTAGTCATTAATAAAAAATGATTTATTAACAATAAGTATTGGTCTTTGAAAATAAATGTATGTTTCATTAAAATTGACAGCGTCTAGTCTAGGCGAGAAACATAGTAAGAGATAAAAAAAACAGTTATTCTTGATTTTTTTTAACAATTTATGCATTACAATTTATATCGTTTATTCAACTTTTTTCAGTACTAATTTGAATATGTCCATTTCAGCCACTTCTGTGTCCGATCCATAAGCGTGTTCAAGAAGCACACAAAAAATAATTATAAAACTCCATCCTATAATAAATCCAGAAAAATACAGCAAAGAAAAAATAATACTTTTTTACTGATTTCATAATAATTATTTATACACTTTTTTAATATGAAAATGTTGTTTTTTTTATAATTGTATTTTTTACATGTCTGTACAAAGGATCAGGATAATGAAATTAATGTAAATGTAAATCTCGATAAGGAATCTCATGATGTTCTTTCTCAACGCAAAGAGGACGACCCTTTAGGATTACAAGCAGACAACAATGAACCAGTCGATAGTGACGGACATGGCCCATACGTCCCCGGTTCAGTAACAGATCCAAAAAATAGACACGAAAGCTATGATCTTCTATTAAAAGATTCGCTTGAAAAAATTCACGGACCGAAAGAAGATCAAACCGAACACTTTTGGAGAAAAGTTGCCGAAAATGCAAAGCAAGATGAAAAATTCGAAAATATGAAATACGAAAAAAAGAGCGAAACACCAAAACTTCCTTACGTAAATGTCTCCCAGAATTTCCATTTCGCGAAGAAAATGCATGTTGGCAACTTAGAGCATCAACCCTTACCCGACACGTTGGGATACCGTCATTTGACTAAAGTCGGGGAGCATCGGGATTCCGATATAGTTGTCAAGCCGTATGCTATTGGATGGAAGGGATTCGGAGCCTCGGGACCCACATGTTGCACCAAAATGCGTGTCCACCGACCTAAGACTTGTGACCCCAAAAAATCCGAAAACGAAGTTGAGGAGAGAAAGCAACGTCCATCGACATCCGCTTTAGATCTGGGAGGTCAGTACAAAAAGCCCATGTCTCTCATGGATCTCGCAATATGCTGGGATTTTAGACCCGATGATGTCAAATTGGAACCTTCACCGCCCAAACATATCGATGGTTCTAACGGGTCTAAGGCACCGGCCGTATTTACGATGGTTCATACTCCAAAGGAGGAAATTCAAAACGCAGTAAGTCATTCCGTTCCGATTTTCAATAAGAATCGGATCGTGGAAGATATGGGGCATCATCCCGTTCCGTACTTTGAAAAAGATATGACAAAAGAGAAACGAAAAGATTCTTGTGATGTGCAATACTGCCCGCAACACAATGCTAGTGATATCAGGTCGAGGTCTTCTAGTAGAAAGAGCTCTTCAACGTCCGCCAGAAACGACAACAAATGTGACGGCGTACATGGCTGTGGTACACCGAGCTCTGTCAGCAGAAGCGCCGACGGTAAAAGACCAGACAAGTTACAAGCCGTAAAAGACGCCTGGAATACAAACAAAGAGAAAAATAATAATTTCATCGCTCAAAAGAGAAACAGTTTGGAATCATACGAAAAAACTCCACTCGCACAAGGAAAATTACACCAAAGCTCACCAAACGAATCAATATCGAAACATTCCAAAGACTCTTCGGACAACGTCAAACATAAGCATTGTTTTTCCTGTAATGGAGTTAAAATTCCGCAAGAACCGAAGCAAAAGGAGGACTACAAGTTCGCTTTTAAAGCGGGGAACCCTAATTCTGTTCAGAGCGTGAGTTCGGGCGATTCGAAGAATATAAAGATGCCAAAGATGCGTCATCCGTACACAAAGAAATCGTACACGATACCGACTCTAGCGCCCCCGTTCAGTATCTGGCGTGATGCGAACGCGACCGGCTACCCGGAGCACTGGCGGCTGGCGAGCGTCTATCAACACGCATACAAACCTCCGGAACAACGACGAAAACCTCTCATTAACAGTGTTTACCAGTAAAAATACCTTATTCTATTAAGATCTATGACTCTGAAAAGAGTATTCTTTTATAATTTACTTTCTAGAATCATCTATCTTTTCAAATAGGTAACGGAAAGATAAAAGTACTAGTAATTGGTCTTTTGATAAAGTTTCGCTTGAGAAGTATGATATTAATTGAGCAAAAGCAAAATCTTCTACTTATTTTACTTTCCTTTGCCTTTGTACCTCTTTGCTTTTTGAACCTAAAATTATTGATATGAATTCTTAACTTAAAAAAAGCGAATAGGTGTCAAATAACATCAGTTGTCATATTGCATCTTTTTTTCAGGATATAATGAAATTCAGTATTATTTTGAGAAACTTTTATTGGGTCCAATACCTAAAAGTCATTTCATGTTATCTTAAATAAATTCTTTCGACCGTACTCTTGTATTATTTTTAGTACACCTGCGTTTTTATCTACGTAATGAAAGATTTCGCGAGGAAGATTCCGCTTTCAAGGTAATAATCTTTCATACTCAATGAAAAATGTGCATTTCCTTATTGTTTCCCAAGCTTTATTGCAGTACTGGAACCAGCCTTTTTCTGACAAATTTGGTACATTTGTAATCTGATGTCTGTTAACTCCTAATACGAGCCAACGAAGTCTTTTCGCTAATTGTTCAAATGACGGATGACCTCGGTATATATCTTTGTTATCTGTAAAAAAAAAGATTAAACGCACCAATAATATACTATTTGAATATATTTTATTAAATTTCACGACCGTATTGCTAAAATACAAGTAAATAGTCTTGTACTTTATGGGTTGTAGAGCGCTGTCTCTTTCATGCATATAATGTGTGAAAGAGACAGCGCTCTATAAAATCAACATCGACTTTCCACAGAATTTTATAAACATACCAAAATCGTTATAAATCTCTGGAAGTAGGAACAAATTGATGGGCGGTCCACAGTTGTCTATATTATAACCTTTGCACACTTGGTCCACGTGGAGGCCGTTCCTATTTGTATCGCTGTACATGTACATGCCGGAGTTTAACTGCAGCGTGGACTTCTGAAATACTTTCCTACGAAACAAAAACAATTCTATTTATATTTCTAGAAATAAACTTTTGTCTAAAGACTTAAGTCATGAGTGGAGCAAATGTTAGATCATAGTTTATTTCGGTTATAATACGACCAACATTTCTGCATAAAATAAAACGTTACTAGTTACATTTGTCGGTTTAATTCTAAAACGGATTTTTAAACGCCATTTTTAAATTTTAAATCGTATTATTGGTCATAATTTCGGATTTCCTGTCACATTAATGAAGGTTCGATATGAAATATTAGTAAATTAAGAAAAAAAACTACTAAAATATTGGAAAAAGAAACACTGCATTGTAATCTGCACTAAAAATCTGACAAAGGTCAATATATTGCGATCTGGTGTTAATATAAAAGTCGTTTCAGTATCGTGACCTGTAGAGGTCCTGCGCGGCGCGGACAGCGTCGGGCGCGAAGTCCTCCAGCTGGCAGCAGTTGTGCAGCAGCAGCAGGTGCGGCTGGCTCTCCTCGCCGCCGCACTCCGCCTCCGCGCCGGCGCCGGCGCTCGCCGCGCTCGTCGCGCTCGCCGCGCTGGACGCTGATAGTGTCGGCTTCAACATTTCAGCTGTCTGTATATACCTATGGTTGATATCTCATATACTAGCTGTTCCCATGCGACTTCATCCGTATCAAATTATGAATATCGTTTTATTGTTTACATTTGTCGAATTCAATAGCAAATGTCAACATGACATGATGACAAAGCATGGCAACCTTGCTTCCTAAATGTTGGCAGCAACTTATTGTCTCTTTCCCACATTGGGGATTTTATCCAAAATATTTACCCCCTATGTTTAATGGCGTGAAAATATGTAGCCTAAGGCGTGACGTAAGTGTAGGGCTTTTTATTAAAAAAGGAATTATTCAAAAATATGCTGTGATTGCTGACATCTTAGGCAACAAAAAAGTGTGTTTACGCTTTATTATAATAGAACAGACTAGCTTTCTAAATTAGCTAGAATAAAAAAAAATGTGTAGACTATGTGCTCTTGCAGACTATCCTCATGTCTATACCAAATTTCATTGAGATCCGTTCAGCTGTTAAGGCCACAAACTCTAACAATCATCCATTCATTAAAAAAATTGCATTTATAATATTACTAGTAACATAAAAAAAACTGTTTATTAGACAAAAAAACATTTTTACAAAATCCATTGGGGCTCTGTCTCCTGAACTAATTATAACAACTGTGTTTCAGGAGACAGGACCTTCTCTTTTCAATTATCATATTACGTGTAAGTTGGTACATAAAAAAAACGTTTTACACATTCCCAAGTACATCTTCGGACTTTCTATACTTTGCCTAGGCAAACTATACAATTCCTAGTTATCACACATTTCTGGTAACATACATACTTGAAACTACATGGCAATCTGTCTATAGTTATAAATGCGAAAGTATAGATGATTGGACGGATGTTTGTTACGAGTTTTTAGCTTAAATGGATCTATTTTTACACAGGATATATTTTTTTTTAAAAAACACAGTCAGAGTCGCGGGCGACAGCTCGTTATTTCAAATATAAACTCAGCTATACCCACATCTGTATTGTGTATCAGTTCCTATTTACAATGTATATTAAATAATTATAATGTAATATACACTTCATAATTTAAAGCCATTATTCTAAAGATAATAAAAAATCTCACCACAAATCAGTAAATAAAAAAAATCAGATAGTGTTTAAAAGTGAAAAAACAACATAGCAGATTACCTTAAAAAGTTATAATCCGTGAACCAATTCTGCACAGCTATCAACACGTGACATATTGACATTAAAAATGATGCAATTTCCAGACAATCCACAGTCACGATGTTGGCACATCTCGGGTTCATTGCTATGTTGTTGGATTCATCAATAAGAGATGGAGACCACAACGGCTGGCAATCCAATAATATCACACGATCATTCGTTACATACATGTCCACCCCTGAAATAGTTTAAAATTCTGTTTTAAAAAGGATATAATGTTTTATGGATGGATATATGCATGGATAGATGTTTGTTACTATATATCTCTGAAAGGCTTAATGGATCCCGATGTATTTTGGCACACATATAGAAGTCTGAAATAAAATCTCATTGCTAAGTTTATTTTTACTAGCTGTTGCTTGCGACTTCGTCAGCGTGGAATTTAAAAAAATGGTAAAAAATATAGTCTATGTTACTCACAGTTAAACCTTTCTAATGGTTAAAGAATTTTTGAAATTGGTATAGTAGTTTTTACGCGAATCGAATACATACAAAAATATAAATCTTTCATATTTATAACATTAGTATAGTTATATAGTTTAGATTCCGTGGATGAAGTTATGGGTTAGGCTATCATGTATTTTTACTAGTAGACATACATTTGATAACATGAAACATTATGTAATAGAATTTGATCTTTTGAAACCCTATAGTAATATAACCAATAGTGTTTTTAATTTCAGGACACACAGGTAACACACTTCTTTCCTACTTCCATCCTAATTTGGCACTTTAGGACTATACTAAAAATTTTAATGAGATTCTCTGCCCACTATGACAGCTATATGGTTGTCAAAATTTAATCTTTATATAAAAAACAATTGTTCATTACCTTTAGTACAGTGGGCGCCTCTTTCTATCTGTTCTATATCTTGCATTTTAAACTTGAAAAAACTATTATTGGGTTCACTTGATTCATTTGACGGGTTTACATTTTCCGTTTGATTTTCAATGGCAACATCACTAGTTTCCGTTGTGTTTGGTATTTCATGAGAATTCAAAATCTGTGAGCAAAGATCTGGTATTGGTGTATTCTGTGCGATGAGATTTAATATCATCGATTTGCCAACACCTTGCATCCCTGTAAACATTTATATTTCATAAACATTACTGACTTAATATGTTTTAAATTATTAATATATACTGTTAAATGCAACTTTTCTTACTTCATATAATCATATTAATATTATAAATGCGAAAGTTTAGTTGGATGGATAAATAGATGGATGTTTATTTGAGTTTGTAGAAAAATGTATGAACAGATTTTAATGAAATTTGGTATAGATGTAGAGGATAATCTGGAAGAACACATAGGCTACCCTTTTTGTTTTATTTTAATTCCACATGGATGGCGTCGCGGGTGAAACTAGTAATGTAATATAGTAAATTGTACACTTATTTGATATAGGATGTCAGCGATAACCACATATTTTTGTACAATTCTAGTTTTAATAATAAGCCCTACACTTTAGACTATATATTTTCACATAAATAAACTTAGGGGTAAATAAATTGAAAAAAATCATCATGCAAGAAAGGGACAAAAACTACAAGAAGTAAAGAAGAAAGATTGCTGTATTAATTGTAGTTGTTAGCCAGTGGCAAATCCTTAGTTGTCATTTGGGTAAATCATTGAACCCAGATCATATACCAAAAGTATGACTAGCAATGACATTTAATTAGTATAGAATGTTTCGCCGATAAACATGGCATTGCCAAGGGTGGAGGAAAAGGAGCAGCTGTCCCCCTGGAGCCTAAAAACATATATATGATACAATGAATACTATTTTAATAGTAGCTGCTGCCCCCAGATCTAGCTTTGATAATCAGCTGGCCAACATCCATAATGAAAATACTTCATGTGACAACTTATAAGAAATGGAATATTTATAATTTATACAAACCCATAATGCCAACAACTAAGTAATTAGTGTTACAATCTTCTAGATACTTTAATGCAGATTGATTAAATTCCAAATTTTCATCCAATAACTTGACCGGCTTTGTCATCAATTTCAGTATGGGTGGGGATTTTGATTCTGTGAATTATGATTTTTTTTTCAATGAATTATCAATTTGTAGTAACTAAAAATTCTGAAACTTCTATTGGCTCAACCCAATTGTTATATCTAAGAAACTTTACTAGGCAAACAAAAATCTTAAGTTTATTGAGAGAATTGTGAAATAACAATAGTTATCAATATTTAGCACTGTTTCAGAAACGGTGACTAATTTTCTGTGCACAATCTTGGACTATCAACTAAGTATTATTTTCTTATTCTATTTTGTTAGCCCTTCATAAGTCAAAAGTCAACTAATAAATACCAGTATTTTTTTTGTCCTTATGTTCATTTTGAGCTATCTTTTGTGGATGATACCCATCACTTTCAGATGTCTGGGCTTTAGGACTCTGGGGACGCTCCTCTTTTGTTGCACTTTGCTCTCGAGTCTTTAAAATTATTGTAGGTTGCTTTTCCTTTTCCTGTTTATCCTTATTTTGATCCTTTACAACTTCACGATCAGACTTTAATATCATTGGTCTTTTTGTCGCTGTTTCCTGAATTTAGAAATTATAATTATTAAATTTTCTTTGAAACATCGCTATACACAAAATTTAAAGTGTCTACACCTACAACTTTTGTAAATAAAATCTTTTTCTTTTTATCAGCCATCTTATTCTGTAATGACACCCAATTTAGGATTAAGAGCTATCCTGATTTAATCCGTACAGTAAAGAATGTTTATTTTACCAGTGTAAACAAAGCATTTATTTTAAATTTATATAAACATACATCGCTTTTGATTTCTGCCAAAACACTGACAGATATCTGTCAATGTCTTGTCAATACCGTTTATTTTATAATTATTCCTGTTCCTTTGCCCTATCACTCTAGATAAATGGTAAATCCATAGATAGAGAATATTGTCTGTTTAAAAATAAAACTATCAGTTGTCAATTTGTAATTTTTGACAATTTAGTTGTCAATGTCAACTCATTTCGTCTGCTCATCACCGTCATCAAGAAAAGCATACAGGAAAAGTTCATTTATAAAAATGTGTAAAAATAGTATTTTAAACTGTATGCTAATTTTCTTTTCTTTTTTATATTCCTTAACGTACGCAGATGTATGTGTTAAAAAAAGTTCATGCGTTTGTGAATTTTCCAATGGCACCGGCATCGACTTATCGTTAGCTGTAAAGAGTACATTTTATACGGTTGATACTTACGAAATCAATGCTAATGAATCTCAATATACGTTTAGTACATTTTTCTATCATCCGTGTTTTGATGCGTTGCTAGAAGCAAACAAACCAGTCGCAAATAATACCTGTACAATATCATTGTCCGTAAGTATTGAAATAATTCTATATTTTTGACCATTATACACCTATGACAATTTTTAAACCGGTTTGTCTACGTAATTACAATGTCTATATTTTTGTGGAAATAAATATGAGTTTATTAAGGTTGTAATGTGTTATATTGTAAAGTATACAATTTATTACAAAACATGGAAATTTATTGCCCAATATTAGCCTAACCAGTCCTAGTAGAACACCTTGAATATATATTAATGCATTAATTAAATAAACAGTAAACAAAGATAGTTTTTTTTAACACAAATTTAAATGTGTGGCTATGATGTATGATTTTGATCATCTTAAGTAATATTTGATGTTATTAATATCAGATGACATAAAGAACCTACAGGCAGAAACAATGCAAAGACAGTGTTTCAATAGGCCTATACCACTAGAGCCCAGGACGGCAGAAAGTAACCGTCCAACAATTGATTCTTTTCAATAGTAATTCCAACACTCATTTAGTTTTACTGACTATTATTACAATATATTTCTCTGATTCAAGATTGCTTGTGTGATTTGACTTAAAAGTCACATTAACAATCTAACTAATGTTATAAATGTGAAAGTTTAGATGGATGGATGAATATTTGCTAGAGTTTTGTTTTTTCTTAATTCCATGCGGACGGAGTCGCGGGGGAAAGCTAGTAAGCTTATAAATGGTCTAGCATTTTAAGCATGTTAAACATATTTAAAATTGAATCATGCACACTGATCCAGCAAGACTTTTAAAATACAATACTTACTGTTTATTCATAAATGTTTACAGTTGTGCCAATACTCAAAGAGTCTTACGCAAGATAATGTAACAGGGAATTTTGTTATTGATAAAGGTGTCTATGCATATATGGGATCATCAAATGATACAGAATTTACTGCTGATGGTTCTTCAATAATTTACCACAATGGGCCTTCGTAAGTATAATTTAATACATTTTAAAATCTCTCTTTCAAAGGTAGCTTAAGGGTTCAAACAATTGACTAGTAAGCTACACATCCTTAGTCCGAATCCCGCCATGTATCAATGTGATTTTGTAATTCTTACTACTATTACTTACCCAACAAATGTTGGAGGAAAACATTGTGATGCAAACTGCACAAATTTGCCCGAGGGCGGATACAGCTTTGGCACCGGGGGG